CCCAATGAGCCCGCGCGACTTCGCCCAGGGCAGCCCCCTAAATCGGTTTTGATGATTATGGACCTGAGCAAGATGTACCTGCAGCCCAGACACCCGGTGAGTGCGGGCGGCGGGGGCGCAGGGCTCGCCGAGCACGGGCGTGCGGTTTCCCCCGCGTCGCCCCTCGAGCGCGGAAGTGCGTCTTGGAGTCGCAGGAGCGTTGAAGGACAGCTCGGACCCTGCGTCCCGCTCGGGAGGCTGCCCGCCGCTCCTCACCCCCACCCCCCGCGCGGGGGCACTCTCGAAGAGGGGGTGCAGAGAGGCGATTGAGTTGTAGCCATTTTCTTATTGTTGTCTTTGAAGCCCCTGGAAGCTGTGCGGAGCCGTTCGTCGTCCCAGCGCCGCGTCTTGGAGGAGGGGGGTGGGGGGGCGAGCGATGAAGGAGGCGCGACTCCGCGCCGGGGCGGGGAGGGCGCCCTCGGCGGCGGCGGCGGCGGCGGCGGCGCGGCTGGTCCGGCGGCGGCTCGGGAGTGCGGGGCACCGGCCCCTAACGCTTCGGGCCCCGGGGACTAGCGAGCGAGGCAGCTGGCCGTCCAGCCGGAGAGGGTGGTGGCCTCGTCCCGCCCTCCCTAGACCTGGCTGCGGCCCGACGCCATGGCGCGGGTCCCCCCGACGGGCCAGTTTCGATTCCGGGTGCGGAGACGGGGTGGCTGGGTGCGCCGGCCCCTGGGCGCACGCCGTTGGCGAGGGAGGGGAGCGGGGTCTCCCACCCGCGGCGTCCGGGGCGGGTAGGATGACGCGGGGGCCCGGGGCCACCCGGAACCAGCTCCTGCCGGGCTGTGCGGCGAAGGGGGGGTGGCGGGAGGAGAGTTCTCATCGCTCTTTGCCTGCCTGCGCGGTGCCCCCCCCCCCCCCCCCCAAGGCCGGGGGGGGTGTTTTTTCCCACTCCCCGCCTCCCCTGTGGATGTGGGGCTAATTAAATATTTTATTGTTGTTCTTTAAGGCACCGCATCAGCCTGCTCAACCCTTTAATTTTACAATATCCGAGTCCTGTGATCGGATTAAGGAGAGTTTCAGTTTTTACAGGCTCATATCACAGGTAAAGATATTTACTTTAGCGGATCCTCCTGTTTGATTAGGTCTTGTCCCCCCCCTCCCCCACATACACACACAAATACCCCCCCATCGGTCCCCCCCCCCCCCACTACAAATGCATTACTGTAATTTTTCCTTGTGGGCAGAAAGGGCATGTCAGGGCCTCTTTTTCTTAGGCAGGTGTAAAGAAATTAAGCATTTCCTCCCTTCTCCCTCCCGTAAATTAAAAAAAAAAAAAAAAAGAGGCAGAACAATTGAAACTGGAGAGACTTGGAAAACGCTGAGGCTAAACTTTCGATATTGATTTATTGGGGCCAGGAGAATGGAAGGTTGGGAAGATTCTGGGGCCTTTTGACTTCCTTGGTTCTTTATTACTCCAGGCTTGATTCCTTCTCACTTCTTTCGGCCATTTCACTGAAATACCATGAGCCGCGAGCTCTCGGAAGTCACAAGTGAGCGATTTCATTACTTTTAAGCTGAAAAAAGAAAATTTTTTTTGTTGTTTTAGAAACGATCAGTAGGCTTAGAGTGCTTTTGAAATATTTTCTTTCACTGGCTTCTAAGTGACGTGTAATTCTTATTTTATAAATGCAAGAACCAAAACAAGTCACTGAACCCAATCCACACTTTGCCCCCTGGGTGGTGGTATTCAACTTGTCTCTGTTTTGGAGGGGAAAAAAAAAAAGACATCATTCATAAGGGATGGCTTGATTCATATTTTCATTAATCTCAGCGTGGAACACTAAAGAAAAAATTCCCTTGTGGCATTTTGGGGGACTTATTTGTGCTTGGATAGATAGATATTGATGTTTATTTTCTTGTTCTTTATGAAGTGAATTTAGTGAATATTCAAGTCTGGATGAGGTTCCCGAATGAAATTGGCTGGAGGGTTTTTGTTTGTTTGTTTTTCTTAAAACAAAAACCCCACAGTTGATTCTCATTGAACGGGCAAGTCCAGGCTGTTTCCAATCATCCCTTTTCTCTCCTGCCTCACCTTGAATAATGAGGGTGGTATTTAAGATAGTTGACTGGTGTTTTGTAGGTGATGATTTAGAGGAGAGAATGTGTCTTTACATTTAAAGGAAGTAAGTCAAAATCTGTGTTGTACTTAGATTTCCTTATGTCTTGAACAGCCTGAAGCTAGAATGTGAGAAACTGGCCAGTGAGAAGACCGAGATGCAGCGGCATTATGTCATGGTAAGAAAACTGTGTCATAGATTCGTAGTGTCTCATAGTTTGGGATACCGAAAGCAAGAATACCTTCGCCTTGCTAGGGGATGCAGGATAGATCGCAGTCTCAGAGTCAGTGCGGTTGAGGTTGTGGGATTGTGACCATTAGCAACCTGTCATTCCAGGACATTACAACTTGCCTCTGACAACCAGCTTTGATTTGAAATTTCAAAAAGTTCACCTACACGGGTATAATTTTCTGTGCTTTGTTTTTACAGATTAGGAAAAAACAACAACACCCCACCTCATTTATGTTTTGTTTAGAGTCACAAGCAAAATGTTTTTGTTAGTGGTTTTCTTTGTTGTTTTATTGCTTTTGCTCCAAACAATGTTAACCAGTTTTTCTGGAAACTGCTAAGATTTTAATGTTTTATTTCTTTTTAAGAATGATGGATAGCAAAAGACACCAGATACCTTTTTAAATTTTCCCCACTCTGTGTTACTAGTGTGTGTGTATTTGTGTGTGTGTTGTGCGGTTTTCAATTTCCATAGTGTTACATTGGTTTGAGGAGTGCTGTCTTCTGTATAACCAAATTTCTATAATGCCAGTCATACCACATGTTCAGAAAAATCAGATCTGCTTTTTCAAAAGTATTACCAAGCATATTTTTATGCTTGTTCATAAAGGATCCAGAGTAAATCATTCATTTCCTGTCAAGCCTTTTTCCTTGTAATGTATAAATATTAGCAGTGCACCCGTCTGAGAAACTGAACTCTGAAGTAGCATCACCTTTTTGAACAGTTCTTTCAAAACATCTGCATGTGTCTGAGACACATATTTGCCATTAACTTGCCTGCTGTGCCTAGGAATTAGAGACTCTGTGGCACCAGATTTTCATCAGACCTTGTTCATTCACCTGCTTGTGATGTATAAAGACAACCAGAGCTGTTTAGAATGCTCTGTTTGAACTTGATCTGAGTTTTGTGAGTTATTCTCTTAGAGTCCCTGTTTTAGGGTGGCGCCTAGTTTATTAGGCTGAAGATAGTGGTAGAATGTTTCTCCTCATTTAACAGCGTAGGTATGGATATTTTGGTTTAGGTGAGGCTTTTATGTTTGTTTTAAACATACTTGGGGGGCATTTTGAACAAACAAGGGAGATTGATGAAACACATAAAGTTAATTGCTTTTCCTTCTTTGACAGTATTATGAGATGTCCTATGGGTTGAATATAGAAATGCATAAGCAGGTGAGTTATTTCTTTCTTTATAACCATTTTAAATGACATTTTGGAAAGAAACTTGTATGTTTTGTAGTGTTATTATGCACATTTTTGTAACTACAGTATTTTAAAAGGCTACTGGTGGGAATGCTATTTTTTCAGGTGTGGTTTTCCCATTTTTGTATGTATTATTTTAATTTTAATCATTTAAAAATGTGATTTAAAATGTCTGCTGCATATTCAACTTTGTACCCTTTCGAAAGTAGGATGCTAAATTTTAAAATAGGTTTTATTTTTCATTTGAAAGAGTTAATTTTATGTATTTCGGGCATTGCAAACTTGTTAAGAGTTTTTCTTGGAAAATATTAAAAAAGGAAAACTAATTTGTGTGGAGCCTCATTGGCTTGGTGTGAAAGAATGGATAGAGGGTGAGCTGGGAGGATCAAAATGAAATCTGTGGCGCTACAAAAGAAATTGATGTAAAATCTTTGTACTGGTCCCCCTGAGGCTATTTAGTTGGGTCTTACCTGTTGTTACTCCCAAAATTTGTACCGCATAAACGCGGCTGATAGGAGGATGTGATAAGGTTCAACACTGGGTCTTGAAACCTATTAATTAGTACAGCCAAAAAAGGAAAAGAAAAAAGATAATCATTAGAAAGCATTGAGAAGTGTGATTCAAACAGCGTGTGTGTGTGTGTGTGTGTGTGTGTGTGTGTGTATAAAATGGCTTATATTTCCTGGATAGAAAAACAGCATATACATAAAAAACATTGTTTGGCAATAATAATTCCTCTAGGAGACATTTGTTTTTAGTGATCGCCTAGTGAAAGTGCTTCAGGTCTGTCTCTCAACCATTTCAGAGTTAGGTGTGTATGTATTTACCTGCTGGGATAAGACGAGGGAAACTTAATGCTTTTCATCCCTTATTATATTCAGGGTGGATGTCACTGCCTTCTGGGTTTAAAAAATATGAAATGATCACACATTATTAGGCTTTTATTACTTATGGATTCCTTTTTGGAATCCATAGTTAATTACCATGTACTCAATATACTCGGCAGAGTTTTAAAAGATGACTGTTAGATAATAAAACTGATCAGATAGGCAGTATTTGAAAAAGTTGGGGAGAAAAATGAGTTGTTCCTTATACTGAGGAGTTTTTATTTCAGATACCTTTTTTACTTTATATGCTATTTGGTTATGTCAATATTAACATTATAATATAGTTTGCTCCATGTTAAAATTAGATTCTTATTTTGGCATCTTTGCCATTTCTGTTTAGATTAGTAATGTAAATATCTCCTGCTTAAACAAAACCCATGAAGCTTATGGATGGACTCCCCGTAGCGCTACCTTACAGGAATAAATTACATGAGGGATACTATTTGTTAATTATCCTCATTACATGTCATTTTAGGTCTGAATCTTGTATACAACTTGTCTTTTTTTTTTTTTGTCCTCACCCCACCATCCAAGATTAATTGGTGCCTTTTTAAAGATTGGACCAGATGATTAATGTCCCTTTATTTATCCTCCTGTATCTTATTTACCATAGCCAGTTAGCCTCCAGGTCTTTCCGTACCATTTACAGGATGCACAGAGTTGATAGTATTTGGCTGTATGTATTTTTTTGGTGGTGGTGGGGGGGGCTGTATGGGAGATCCCTTAATTTTGCACATTTTATACCTTTGTAATTCTGTCATTTTCTTCCCCAGCTGGCCTCAAATGCCATCTATTTAAAATTGAGAATGGAGTACATTTTCCCTTTTTTTCTCTTGCTTTTAAATTCAATCATATCAAGAATCCTGAGGGCAGTTTATCACATTATGAAATACAGACAGCCCTGCAAACCACCTACTTATTATATTTTCTTTCTTTTCCCCCTTAAGCACAGAGGCATATCTGTCTTTATTTGTTTTCCTAGGCAGACAGCCTTGGTTCCTCTTGGCCTCTCTTCCAGATGCACTCGTTGGATACCCTCAATAATGGAAAGCAGCAATAATGCAGGGAAGTTGCCCTGCGGCATAATTGGGCCTAGTTCTCAAGATCGGGTTAGGCTTATTCACTTATTAGATTTGTGTCTCTGAAGGGTTCAAGAGTAGGAGTCCCCGGAGTCCTTGGAAGCACCCTAGTAATCGGTGGCCCTGATATTTGAAACCTTTGTGTATTTTTTTGGTTAACGCTCCTGTTCTTCTTGGCTGCTGCCAGCCACAGAGTATTTATTTTTAGAGAAATTTTTCATTGGAACAGAAAATGATGGCTGTGATGGAGTCATGACTCTGTGACTTAGCAAATGGATAAAAGGATAAAAGCACAAAGCAGTGACAAACAGGGTTGGGGGTCTGGTATTATGGCCCCTCCCCTTTCTGTATGATGCTCATTGTCAGTCACCCTGTGTTGATTCTGATAGAGGACTATAAAGTGAAACCTATGGGGAATTTGTCATTCTGAAATGAAAGCTAATGTAATTAGTACCAATTAAAGTACATTTAGTAAATTGGATTTAATCTTAATTAAGCCTGCATAATGTTGCCAATTTTTAACAATTATGTTTGAGAACATAATTAATTTAAATTTTGGTAACTGAGTAAATAGCATTAGTCTGGTAGAATTAGTTGAATTTTTTTTTTAAAAGGGGAACTCGGTGACATGATATGGAATTAGAGCATAAAATATGAATCTAATTTCTGGTAATCTTTAGTAGGATTGATAGGGCTGAGCAGATGAAGCTGGGGAAAAACCCCAGAAAAGTTAGGGAGGAGTATCCTAGGCTGTAACGTGAGTTAATGCTTCGCCACTGTCTTAAGTTAGTATGAAAGTGAAGGTGACAAATGGGACATGGTTAGAAATGGCACATGTTTTATTGTGATGTCTTCATAATGGGACTTTTAATAATGAAAGAACATTGGTGTTTATTCCCTAAGGATTTTCCTAAGTGTGGAGTTTTTGTGTTTTGTTTGTGGATAGGGTATTTTACCCATCGTTTAGTTGTTACATATTTTGCTGATTGTTCCTTTTTATAAACACAGTGTGGCTTCTAAATGGGTCAGTGACCGTGGGCAGAACAGGGTGATGCATGCAGTTGATAACATTGCTAAATGCTAGTTGTTCCCAACCCTCACCTGTAATGCTGTAATTAAAGAAGACTGCCCTGATTTAATCTGACAGCAGTAGTTACGACTTTAAAAAGTGAATATTGGATGCACATTAGGCAAAATAGGTAGTATGTGAATTCATCCTCTAGGAACTGTAAATGGAGATGAACTTTTGAGAGCATCTTGTGACTTCCTCATAGTTAATATTCTGTAGTCTGAATCTCTCTTTGCTTCTAAAAAAAATTTAGTATTTGAATTTTAGAAATTAGAACATTTTAGAAATCTATAACACTTAGAACCTAAAAAAGTACTACATATTTATATATGCATGTGTGTGTGTAAATGCATGTGTGTATGCATGTATATGTGTATATACATAAAATTACTATTTTTTAAAAATCTGAGCAAGGAAACTCCTGTTTCACTCCAAGCCATGTAACTTTTATTATGAGATTTGGGCCGCAACCATTTGAGTGCTGCTAAAATATTAATTGAATAGAAATGAAAGGGCCTTGCCAACTGATAGGATATCATAATCGTAGCCTCTCTGGTCGATGGTAAATGATGATAAATGACATTAGGAACCTTTTAGCAAACTGTAATAACTACAAGGAGGGAAGCAGTATGGATTTGCATTATATCTGATACCCTCTAGTACCAAGTGGATTGCCAATACTGCTTGTTTAGCATTTTCTAAGGGCAATAGGATATTGATTTCTGACTTACAAGGAACAGCTCTATTTTCACCATTGAAAAGTATTGCAGGTTGTTAAGAAGAAATTGACTTGAAGAGGCCGACTGCTGCCCATCATGGAGCAAATAAAGCAAAACTGCCGAAGCATGGTGGAGCAGGGAGACGGGCCCTCAGCAATTTGTTGCTATTAATTTACCATGCTCGACAGCAAATCAATCGGCATCTACTTCATCTGCTGGAGAAAATGCTGTCCAGGGCAGATAAAAGGCTCGGCATGGTAAAGAGAATAGACTGGATTGGCCAAAAAGTGGCTGCAGTTAATGTGTAAATAAGTGAAATCAAGGCCACAGTTGCAGAGGAAGCTGTTGTTAATTAGGTTGGTGCTTTTTCGTGAACTATTTTAGAAAGCAGCTGAGGATTTGGAGAGTAGAAAGAGATTTATTGAGGTTGAAGTAATATATGACTGGCATGACATTGCAGCTTTGAGTGTGCTTGATTCTAGGGTGCAGTAAATTTATTCCAGTGCTTGCACTGGAAGTCAGTTTGTTTAAAGTTCTGTTTAGACTAGATTTCCCATAAGAAAACTTTTCTTTTGAGCATTACTGATTTCTTGTACATCTCCTGTCTTAGATTGTTTATGGTTAGATTTGCAGGAGTAGGTGTTTGAGAATATAGGCAAAGATGTGTCTTATATTCTTACACAATGAATTTTAGAAAAGGATGTGATTAAATCTTGTATAATAATGGAAGTGAACTAATAGAGCTCAGGTGTTCTATCTGAAAGTACTTAATAAAACAATAAAAATTTTGCTGAGGGAACTTATTTTTGCTGTATAAACACTGGTAAATAATCTAGAGGGGCTGAACAGTGAGTGGGTGAGACTGGAAAATCCCAAAGAGAGAATATAAGTGAAATTTTGATGACTGCAAAAAAAACTCCAGGTATCATTAGGTGATCATGCACATGTATGATGTGGGATTATTTGCATTTTTATTTGTTTTTCATTAAGGTTTAAAGCCACTTTTTCTAACTTAAGATTATTCATACTTCAATAATAAAAGCCTATTATACAAATCGACTGAATGGCGGAATGACCGGTCGGTATGACATGCACTGACCACCAGGGGGCAGATGCTCATTGTAGGAGCTGCCCCCAGCCTGCAGGCCCCAGGCCAGCCAAGGCGGGTGCCAACCGGCCGCGCCCCCCCCCCCCCATCACCCCACTGGTTGCCCCA